AAGAGTGGACTCCGTTCCGTGGCGCCCGATGCCTTCCGTTTCACTCCTCGGCTCAGTCGCCTGTGAGTGGCCAGGGCTGGGCAGAGGGAGTGGGAGGACCCTCAGACTTGAGTGGCTGCTGGGCTTGTGCCCCACCCCCCAGCTGTTGTGAAGAAGGCCCCGACCTGGTCAGGGATGTGGCCTCTCCCATTCTCCTGGGGCTTTTCCGCATGTCCTTCAGGGATGACTGTGCTCTGGGCACCAGCGGGGTCATGGGTTCTCGCCTCCACGCTTCATGCTACGGGACGTCCTGGGTGCCTGCCCCGTTTTTCTTTCTGGAGTTCAGACACATACCAGTCCAAAGGGAGCAAGGGACAGGAGCGTGCTCCACATTCTGGCCCGGGCTCCATCTCCCACCCCCTCACTGGTCCCCGGGATAGCCTGGGAGCTGGGGCATTGGATCCGCCACTAGTCGCCCTGCCCACCCCTGGGAGTCACAGCTGTCTCTCTGTAGATGGTGGGGAGGGGCAGCGAGGGGCAGGAGAGGGAGACTCTTGGAGTCCCTGGCAGCCCCCTCTCTGGGCTTCTGGGGCCAGGAGTTCAGCCCCTCCTTCTTACCATGGCGAACAGACAGACAGACGGCAGGGTGCTGGGGTCCTGCCATTCATGGGGTTGTGTGGGGTCCTCTAAAGTCTCTACTGTGTCCGGTGATGTAGCAACAACAGAAAAGGTGATGGTACTCACATCACTCACGACATACTGGGGCTTCAGTTAAAAATGAGTACCCAGTGACACCTCACGACACTTATGTCCGTGAATCTTCACAATCAACTTGGGTGAGAGAGCATGTCAGCTCCCTTTTATAGATGAGGATTCTGAGAATCACAGAGGCGACGTTTCTGGGCCGAGGCCACACCCCGCTGTGTCTGGTGCTGGACTGGGCATTCTTTCTGATCTCTGTGTGGTGGTGCCAACCCCACTCAGCCCCCACAAACTGTAGGACAGCTAGGCAAGGAGACGGGCCAGGGCAGTCCCCACAGACGGAGAGCCCCCGGAGTAGCAGGCTGGTGTGGGGCTCCTTACCCAGCTTGCTGTGTGGCCCGGAGCTGGCACCTTTTGGCTGGCACTCTCTCCGTGTCTGCAGCTGGGGGCCCGGGGCCGGGGGGCCCTGAGGAGGGGAAGGAAGGAGGCAGGGAGAAGCTGAGGAAGTACACCGAGATCCTGGTCACCATCCCCCTTTTCTTCTGGCCGGTTCTGGGCTCCGGGGCAGGGGAGCACAGATGGAGTCCCTTCCCCCAGCTGGGGCCTCAGCACTTTGCCAGCTGGGGCCAAGGCAGGGAGAGGGGAGCAGGCTGTTCCCTGAGACCCCCCCCACCGGGGTCTGGGGAGGGGGTTAGGTGGGGTTAACCCTCGCTCTCCCAGCGAGAAGAGGGGGACTCCAAGAGCCTAACCTGTCCCAACGCCGGTGCCTCCGAGGCTGGTTCTAGTTGCCTGGGCTGGGGAGGAGAAGCCAGATGTCAGCTTCCTGCCGCTCCTCCCTCCTCACCCTGGGTCAGAGCGAGGTCGGGGGCTCAAGGCGGCTGTCTCTGTCTCAACTCCCACAGGAATCTCTCCTTCAACGCTTTGGAGTCTCTCTCCTGGAAAACCGTCCAGGGCCTCCCCCTGCAGGAGCTGTGAGTGTGGGCCTTCCAGGGACCAGAGCACTGTGCGCGCCCGCTCATGCACATCTCTGTGTGGAGCTGCGGCGGGGGCTTGCTCTTTGGGGACTCTGCCCACGCCCGTGACCCCCATCCAAGGCCGCAGGTCCCCTGGAGGGCACTCCTGCCCTGGGGGCGGCCAGGGTGTGGGGGCAGAGCTGGCCAGCTGAGTGCGTGCGCGCGTCTGCCCACCTCGCCAGCACCCCGCGCACAGGGGCCGCCTGGGACCGTGGCCAGGTGTGTGTGGTTGGCACCTAAGGCCCCTGGGTCACTCGGAACACACTGCCCTTCCCTCCGTCGTCCCGTGCAGAGTCCTCCCCCGGCCTGTCTTCCTGAGGAGCCCGCTGGGGCAGGCGAATGCCATGTAGCCCCCAGCCGGCCCCTGGGCTTTCTGGATTCTATTTCTTGCAATAACGTCTTGTGCCTGGGGTGCCTGAGAGGACCTTCTCCTCTGCCCCATTCCTTCACCTCCGGATCCTGCCCCCCGCCCCGCCGACCGACCGCACCCCCTCCTGCGTGTTACTGCATTCCCTGTGGCGCCTCAGGCCCGACGCCGGCCCGTCCCCGACTCTCTCGGTGTCCCCCATGCCCACAGGGTCCTGTCGGGGAACCCTCTGCGCTGCACGTGTGCCCTGCGCTGGCTGCTGCGCTGGGAGGAGGCGGGGCTGGGTGGCGTGCGCGGCCAGAAGCTGCAGTGTCCCGGGCAGGGGCCCCTGGCCTTCTTGTCCAACGCTAGCTGCGGTAGGTGCCGGGGAGGGGGGGGCCGGGGGGGCCGCATGCCTGCGGAGGGAGCACTGGGCAGGGGACTGCGGAACGGACATGGGCAAGAGCTGGGGGTGCTGAAGGTTGGAGGGCACTGGGCATCGCCGGCGGGGGCTCGGGGCCACTGGGGAACGTGGGGGAGAAAGCCCTGGGGCCGCGCCCCGCTCTAATGTGCCTCGGCTATCCTGGGCCACCAGGCGTGCCCGTGCTGAAGGTCCAGATGCCCAACACCTCCGTGGACGTGGGCGACGACGTGTCGCTGCAGTGCCTGGTGGAGGGGCGGGGCCTGGAGGGGGCCGGCTGGATCCTCACGGAGCTGGAGGACTTGGCCACAGTGACGGTGAGAAGCCCTTCACTGCCCCGTCCCTGTCCCCCCTCTTCTCCTCTCCCCGGGAAAGGCTTGGACAGGACACAGGGGACAAAGCCAGGAAAAGAGAGACAGTGAGGAAGAAGCACATGGAACGCAAGGGAGGGGCAGATACGGTTTCAGCCCACGGGGCTCAGACTCGTTCTGTGGGGCAGGCACACACATGCCCTCAGGGTGGGCACTGGCCCAGCGGGGACCCCAGGCCCCTCTCTGGGAACATGGCGCTTGCTGCCAGAGAGACAGTCCCTGGACCCACAGACCATCCCTCCCATCCACTGGCTTTGTAGACAAGGGAACAGGACCAGGGGGAGAGCGCACAGGATTCGTGGTCCTGCATCCAGTCGCATCTCAGGGTCCTTCCCATCTTTGTCTGGAGATTGTGGAAGCAGCATCCTCTTGGGTGTGTGATGAGCTTATTAGTAAAGAAGGTCCAGGTCTGGGCCCACTTTCTCACTAATGAATTTTTGGACTGACTTTCGGAAGAATCCCTTAATATGCCTATACTTTGGTTTTCTTATCTGTGAACTGAGGAGGTGGATGTGATGACCTTTGATGTCCCCGCCTGGTTGTCAACTGAGGAGGTGGACATGATGACCTTTGATGTCCCAACCGCCTCTGGGCACTCTCTGGCTGCTATCTCTGTTGTGTGGATGTGTCTTTGGGCATCTTCCCGTGCCTGGCCCTTTGTGCTCAGGCAGCCACGAGCAGCCAACAGCTGACTCAGGCCTTGTGGACAAGGTCAGCCGAGGCCGACAGTAGGCTGTGCCCACCCATCAATCTGGCCCCACATGGGTGGGCACACAGGGTCCAGCCCATTGGAGGAGCCGGGCCAGTGTGTTCACTTTGAGAGGGAACCCACCCCCAGGATTGCTGGAGGCCCCTGGAACAATATTGAAAGAAGGAAGAGCCACTGGAGCTGGGGACCCATGTATGGTGGGGGGAACACAAGCCGCTGAGCAGAGCCACTGAGAGTGAGTGATGGAAAGGGAACAAGGCAGAGGCAAGAGGTTGGCCATGACCATCGGCGGAGAGACTTCTGCTCAGCTGTTTTGGGAAATTCCAAGGTTTTGCTTTTCTCTTAGGGAGATTTACGTGTTTGCTACCACTTCTGTTTTCTAGAAACTTCCTACAGAAAAGTCACACCCAACTGGATTCAGTGGAGGGCAAGGGAGGCTGGTCACCCTCAAGAGAGGGGACGGTGGCAGAGCAGCTCCAAGGGAAGAGTTGATGGGCTGCCCTGCATCCCCAGGGATTTGGGGGAGACGGGGCCACAGACAGAAGCTTGGGGCAGGGCCGGGCTTCCCCTGGAGGAGGCTGGAAGCCAGAGCCTGCACAAGAGGCTAGAGAGCTCTTCTGGAACTTCGAGCTTCCATTCCAGTGGAAGCCTGGGGAAACTTCACCTCCTCTAGCACTTAGTCTCAGGATTCCGCATTTCTGAAATTTCCAGATAAATGAGGTTTGTCCACTGCTCCATTGACTTCCATCATTTTATGGAAATAGCTTTCTAAAATGTCAAAAGATCATTTTGTCTTACCTCCTTGGCTTACAAAGCAAGAAAGCCAAGGTTCAGCAAGATTAGGAATTGTCCTAAGGTCGTGTGACTGACACATATCCACAGTTTCTTAGGAAGAGAATCTGAACCTGATTGAGTCTTCTGATGATGATTCAGAATGAAGTCACTTGGCCGCTAGCTTCACTCTCCGTGTTTATCTGCCAGAGGGGCTCGGGGTGCCGCCGCTGTGCCTACCCAATGCCCTGCCAGCCCGTTTTTCTGGTCTCCCCTGGGCGGAGACTGTTAGAACTGTGTGTAAAGCAAGAATGAGTTGTGTCTGTCTGGTACTTGGGGTTCTTGACATCTGTTGAGCTGCTCAGATGGTGGTCCTGGTTCAGGGTATTCTGCGCCTGTTTTGAAGTTACTGGTCATGTTCTAGATTTTCTCGGATCATTAAATAAATGGTCCAGGAGATAGTCTGCGAACAAGCTCTAAGGGGGGGGGCATTCTCTCCTCTACCTCTTCCCTCCCCCCGTTCTCTCCACTCCTTTCTTTTCCATCTGGAGCCACAGGGGTGCCCCAAAGATATCAGCTCCAGCCCCCTGCCTCCATACCCACGCCTGCTGACACTCTCCCTCATTTACCCTTCTCTTTCCTGACCCAGCAATCTGGGGGTCTGCCATCCCTGGGGCTGACCCTGGCCAATGTCACCAGTGACCTCAATAAGAAGAATGTGACATGCTGGGCGGAGAATGACATAGGCCGGGCCGAAGTCTCCGTGCAGGTCAACGTCTCCTGTGAGTCCCAGTGACCCACACACACACACCCCCCTTCTTCCCTGGAAAGAGGCTCTGAGGGGCAGGGGCTGGAGGAAGGGGCTGGGATATGTATCTCCACAGCTGTTCCCGCCCAGCTGTTTCCAGATTCCCATGAAAACCTGATCCTGTGGGGGAAGTCCTGGGGGCTGGTCAAGGCCAGAGGGATGGGGATGGATTTCTTTCTGGCTCCCTGCCCAAGGCTTGCTACCTGAGGCAGCCAGCTGCCTGGCCGCTCTCGCCGTGTTACTTCACTGCCCACCCACCGGAGCACTTTTGTCCCACATCCGAGTTTTATTTATTTATTTTTAATTTTTTTTTAAAGATTTTCTTTATTTGTGAGGGAGAGAACGAGAGACAGAGAGCATGAGAGAGAGGAGGGTCAAAGGGAGAAGCAGACTCCCCACTGAGCAGGGAGCCCGATGCGGGGCTCGATCCCAGGACCCTGGGATCATGACCTGAGCCGAAGGCAGATGCTCAACAGACTGAGCCACCCCGGCGCCCCCACATCCGAGTTTTAAAAGAAGAGATTCTCCTCCCCAGCTCTTCTTTATGCTCGCTGCCTAATTTCCCTAGGTCTGCCAACAAATTACTTTAAACCCTGTACATTATGCAATTTCTCTTCTTTAATTGTGAAATATAAGGTAGATATGTGCATAAAACATAGATACTTTAAACAATAATTAGTCTTTGGCTCTTCAGAACACAGTCCCTTTCCTCTCCCCATCCTTTTTCTCTGCACCATCCCGACTTTTGGGATAATCGTTTCCTTGCTTTTAAAAATAATTTCACACACGTGTGCTTCCCTATCAGCGTGGTTTAGTTTTCCCTGTTGGCGTACGGTCTAGAGATGGAATCCTCCTGCAAGTATTATTCTGGGCTTAGTTTCTTCTGTGCAACATTGTATTTGTAAGATTCACCAGTGGTGCTGGGAGCAGCTGTTGTTCCTTAGGTCCTTTCCTGCCGAGTGGTGCCCCTGCACATCTATGTATCTATTATCGAGAGGCTTTTGCTCTCCTCAGGTTGGGTCTATTTCAAACCCATAATTTTTTTTCCAAAAGCTTTTTTTTTTTTTTTTAAGGATTTTATTTATTTATTTGTTAAAGAGAGAGAGAAAGAAGAGAGAGAGAGAATGAGCCAAGGGGAGGGCCAGAGGGAGAGGCAGAAGCAGGCTTCCCACTGCACCGGCAGCCTGATGCCTGATTCTGGGCTCGATCCCAAAACCCTGAGATCATGACCTGGGCCAAAGGCAGACTCTTAACCCACTGAGCCCCCCAGGCGCCCCTTTCCAAAAGCTGTTTAACTACATATTTTTTGCTTGTTTGACGTGTAGGCCCTCTCCCGGTCTTCTTAAGCTTGATTGCACTTCATTTTTCTGGATCCCTTATCCAAAAGACCGCGTGTTCCATTCCCATAGCCGGGACCCGCTTCCCTGGGGCTGTCACTGACGGCCACCACAGAGGCTGGCCGAGCCTCTGAATTGTATGCGGCTGCTGCCTGGTTCATTTAAGATTGACCGTCACCTTTCTTCGGGAGGTCCCTCCTTGTGCATTTCTTTGGGCCTGCTGGCCCACCCCCACCTGATTCCTGGTTCTGCCCCCACCCCGCCTTGTCAGGTGGGCGCTGGGTCCCCTCCGGCTGCTCCCTGACTTGCGGCTGTCGCCCCGTCTGGCCCGCAGTCCCGGCCAGCGTGCAGCTGCACAAGCCGGTGGAACTACATCACTGGTGCATCCCCTTCTCGGTGGACGGGCAGCCGGCGCCCTCTCTGCGCTGGCTCTTCAACGGCTCCGTGCTCAACGAGACCAGCTTCATCTTCACCGAGTTCCTGGAGCCCGCGGCCAACGAGACCGTGCGGCACGGCTGCCTGCGCCTCAACCAGCCCACCCACGTCAACAACGGCAACTACACACTGCTGGCCGCCAACCCCTTGGGCCAGGCCTCCGCCTTTGTCATGGCCGCCTTCATGGACAACCCTTTCGAGTTCAACCCCGAGGACCCCATCCCGGGTGCGAGGGCCACCCCGAGCGCCGCCCCCCTCCGGGGCTGCCCCGCTCCCCGCCCCTCGGGGCACAGATCCGGGCGCCGTGGGGAGGCCTGGTCCTGGAGCTCCGCGCTGGCCTCCCTGCCCTGCCTCCCCCGAGCCCCGGGAGCCCCGAACCCCTGGGCTGCCCCGCTCCCTGGGCTGGCCGAGGAGAGGGTGGTGCACCAGGGCATCGGTGGCCCAGCTGGAGAAGGGCTGCGTGCCTCTTCTCCTCGAGGTCCAGCCGCCCCACCTCCCCACCCCACCCACCGCCCCAGGAAGGGATGAGTGGGGGGGAAACTCACTGACCTCCTCCCCCCATCTGACTGCTCTCTCTCCTCCTCCCACTGCAGTCTCCTTCTCGCCAGTGGGTGAGTAGCCCAGGCCGGAGGGCAGGTTCTGTCTGGTCCCTGAAGCCGAGGCTGGGGCAGAGGGCACAGCTGACCTGATCCCCAAGGGCTCAGCAGGGGCGGGTGGGGGGGAGCTGCTGCAGGAGACACGGCGTGGGCCGAGGCCCACTATCCGTGCCCTGTGTCCCCACAGACACTAACAGCACTTCCGGAGACCCAGTGGAGAAGAAGGATGAAACCCCTTTTGGGGTGAGCATGAGATGGGGAAGCTGGTCTCAGCCTTGGGATCGGGAGGCTGGGCTCATGGCTTGTCAGGGAGGAGGACGCAGGTCTGGGGGCCCGGCTCTGGGCTCCCACGCGGGATGGGGAGCTGTTTGCTCTGGGGGGACTCTGAGGGAGCAGGAGAAGCTCGGCTCTGACCACCCCCACCCCCAGGTCTCAGTGGCCGTGGGCCTGGCTGTCTTTGCCTGCCTCTTCCTTTCCACGTTCTTCCTTGTGCTCAACAAATGTGGACGGAGGAACAAGTTTGGGATCAACCGTGAGTCGGGGTGCTGCAGTGGGGCTGTCCGTCCGTCTGTCTGTCCATCCGTCCTGCTGGCTTTGTTTCCCACTGGCTCTCCCTGACCCCGTCCTCCGTGTGGGGGGCCTGCACACGGTGGAGAGCTAGGGGGTGTGCACTGGGGTGGATGCGGGTCTGGCTGCGGGGCGCGTCTGTCGGGGCTGCGGCTGGGAGAGTGTCAGGCAGCAGCTGCTAATTGGCGGCTGGATTATAGTCAAACACTAAGTGGGTCTGGGAGGTCTGAGCTCTGCGGGGGGGGCGAGGTCTTTGGTGGCCCACTGGGCCTGGGGTTGGGCAGGAGCCAGACAGAGAGAGGCCATAGTGCCTCCCTGTCCCCTGCGGGCTGCCTCGCTCCCTCGCTCCCCTGCCTCTCCCCTGCAAGTTACAGGCCGGGGTTGCCTGGTGCCCTGCAGCCTGACAGGGGCTGGGGTGTGTACCTGGGTTGTGACCCCTCCATAAGGCTGTGTTGCTTCCCCAGGGGCAGCTGTGCTGGCTCCAGAGGATGGACTGGCCATGTCCCTGCATTTCATGACATTAGGTGGCAGCTCCTTGTCCCCCACTGAGGGCAAAGGCTCTGGGCTCCAAGGCCACATCATCGAGAACCCACAATACTTCAGTGATGCCTGTGAGGGGCTATCCTGGGTCAAGGGTGGGGGTGAGCCTGGTTGTGTGTGCGCGTGTGCAGAAGCCCGTGTCATCGCCTTTGTCCACCCCAGGCCTGAACCAGCCTCCCCTCCCCTCCCTCCTTTCCCCGTCCACACCGCAGTATGGGGCTTTGGGGAATGCCCAAAGGCTCAGTTTCAGTCCCCAGCCACCCCCTTGGCTGGCAGCCTTGCGCTGCCCCCAGGCCTGCCGGCTAGTCCTTCCCAGCACAGGGGCTCAGGTCTGACCCTGCAGGCCTCCCGCCTCCCGGCAGGTGTTCATCACATCAAGCGCCAGGACATCGTGCTCAAATGGGAGTTGGGCGAAGGCGCCTTTGGGAAGGTCTTCCTTGCGGAGTGCCACAACCTGTTGTCTGAGCAGGACAAGATGCTCGTGGCCGTCAAGGTACAACCCTGTCTACGAGCTGCCGCTGGCCCGGGTCCCACGTCCCAGAGCACCCCGGTTCCAGGACCGGGTGCTCAGGCTAGGGGGGCGGGCTGCGGGGTGTGGCCCCCTTGGGTGTGGGCAGGGGAGGGGGCCCCTCACCCAGTCCCGCCGCGCCCCGGCGTCCAGGCGCTGAAGGAGGTGTCGGAGAGCGCCAGGCAGGACTTCCAGCGAGAGGCCCAGCTGCTCACCATGCTGCAGCATCAGCATATCGTGCGCTTCTTTGGGGTCTGCACCGAGGGCCGTCCGCTGCTCATGGTCTTTGAGTACATGCGCCATGGGGACCTCAACCGCTTCCTCCGGTAGGAGTGCCTGGCCACCAGTGCTGGCCTCCGGCTCTGAGCCCCTGTACCCCTTCCCTGCAAGCGCATCCCCAATGGTCCGTCGAACCGAGGGGGACACCAGACGTAGCAGGAGGGCCGGGCTCCTGTCCTGGAGGAGCTCGAAGGCGGCTGTGTGGATGGGGGGCCGTCTGCGCCAAGGACATGGTGGCGGTAGTTGGGGGGGTGGGGCGCGAGCAGAAGTCAGGACAGTGACTTGCAGAGAGTGTTTGCACGTGCGGGGGGGGCGCGCAGAACCAGGCCTGTGGGGGTGACAGCGTGGAGAGCTACGGCGACAGTAACAGGCCTTCCAGGTACTCTGCTCCTACTCTGCACCCTGGATGCGTGTGCATGGACACGTGTGTCTGAATAATCACCCTAACATATATGTATTCTTCATAATCTCCAAGCGTATATGGCCATTGATACTCGAAGAACGTCACTAAAAGTTAATTTCTTTTGCTGTGGCAGAACAGCTCTGACACATTTACTAATGTGTGCCGATGATTTTAATAGCTTTAAGAAATGTGCCCATTTCACAGATGAGGCGTAAGTGGCTTGCCCACAGGCACACAGGGGGAAGTATGACCCCAAGTAGAGCCCTGCTGTCAGCCCCTGACTGTGATGGTCACATGTTCCCTTTGTTGAGTCCTTGGATGAGAACGCCCCCTTTCCCAGGATGGCGCCCTGTGAGGTGTGAGGCGGGTAGGGGGAGGGCCAGGCTTGCACTCAGCTGTGACCTCCTAGCTGAGCCAAATAGCTTTCCTCTCTGACCTCAGTTTCCCTGCCAGTAAGAGGGACAGTGGGGGGCTGTGGTTCTGGATGAGAAAGCGCTGTGTGGCTGTCCAGCTGACGGTCGTGATTTGGTCTCTGAACACCCCCTCGGGAGTGAAGGGTCATCCACACCGTCAAGCTATAGAATTCAGCTGGGAGAGACCTTGAGTCTGAGCTTATCCTGTGGAGGAGGAGGAGCCCATGCAGGGTGGGGAGCAGGAGGGAGGTGATGAGACCCCCATGTGGAGTGTGGAGGTGGATGGGCTCAGGAGACTGGAGTCAACGGGAGGCCAGACCAGAGGCCTGGCTCACCAGACACCGTGTGGGCTCAGTGCTGAGTGTGGGGATGCAGGCCAGGGACAGGCCACCATCTGGGACCCAGGCTGTAGGAGAAGTGGCTCTTAATGCTGCGGGGAGCACAGGGAACCAAAGGAGGGAATCATGAAGGCTCCTAGATAAGTCTGGAGGACATTCCCTAAGAAGCCCAGCTGTTCCTTCGAGCCTCGGGGCCTTTGCATTTACAGTACCCTTTGCCTGGCACAGCAGGTCTTCCTCCCAGTCACTTCCCCCACCTCTGTCTCTGACCCTTTTAAATGGCTTACTCACCTCTTTTCTTCAGGGTTTACGTCTCAGTTTAAATGTCTCTTCCTCCAAGAAGTCTCCCCTGACTTCTCCCACCCCTAGCCTAAGTGCCTATCAGGTGCCCTGTTGACCTGTGGCCTACTCCCCAGGTAGCTCTGTGACTGGCGCACTGCAGGTGTGTAGTAAGCCCCGGGCTACGTGAAGGAATAAACAGATGAGGAGAAAAGTTGGCCCGTGGGCAGGGGCCGGCCCGACAAAGCCATTGGCTCCGGCAGGGGTCAGAAGAAGGAATATCTGGGGAATGGAGCTGAGTGACCAGGGATGGATCTGGAGTGGTGGCTGTGGGAGGTGGACGGTGTCCTGGAGACCTTTGGCAGGAAGAAGGACCCCACGGGAGGCTGAATAGTGAGGGCAAAGGCGAGAGAGACAGGAGGACCCCCAGGTTTCAGGCTCGGAGCCTGGGGGGAAGCTTCCCTTCACGGAGGCAGGGGCAGACCTGGGGGAAGAAGCTAAGCATCTGGAGGACCCAGTGGGAGGTGTCCATGGGCAAGAGATGCAGGGGCCAGAGGGTAGCTGGCTGCTGGGCTCAGAGTTTGAGGGGGCTGCCTGGGGGGGCCGTGAATGTGGAAAGTGTGGGCAGTGGTGGAGGCTCCGGAGGGGGGCACACCCGGCGGCCCCCCTCCCAGGCCCTCCAGACACCTGCCTCCCTGTTCCTTGCTTCTTCCATTCTCGGGAGTCTCCTCCCCCCTCCCACCCCAGCCCCCCTGGTTCCGTGACCTCAGCCTCCTGGGGGCTCCCCCCTCCCCCAGCCGGGCCTCCTCTCCCTCACTCTTTGGCAGGTCCCACGGGCCTGACGCCAAGTTGCTGGCTGGCGGGGAGGACGTGGCTCCCGGCCCCCTGGGCCTGGGGCAGCTTCTGGCCGTGGCCAGCCAGGTCGCGGCGGGGATGGTGTACCTGGCTGGTCTGCACTTCGTGCATCGGGACCTGGCCACGCGCAACTGCCTGGTGGGCCAAGGCCTAGTGGTTAAGATCGGCGACTTCGGCATGAGCAGGGACATCTACAGCACGGACTATTACCGCGTAAGGGTCCTTGGGCCCCCGCCTCGGGCGCGGTAATGCCCTCCTCTTCCTGGGCGGCGTGGGGGCCCAGGCTGCCCCTCTCTGGACTCTAACTCCTGTCTTACCTCCTGGGCCACGGACGAGGGTGTGTCTCCGCTCTCTGGGACGCACAGAGACGCCACCATCGCTTTTTCCCTCTTAGCGCCGGCCCCCAGAGCCCCTGCCATTCATCTTTAA